TTCATCTCTGTTAAAAGCATAAAGGACAAGAATATCCACACACATACTCTGTAGCAAGAGAAAGCACTTCAGTTCTATAGAACAACTCAATGCATGAAACTGCAAAATACAGGAGAAAAAAACATCCTTTTCAACCCTTAAACATTCATTACCCAAAATTACACATCCTACTTACATTTTTTACACAGTGATATTTTACTGGGTTGCATCCCAAATACATTATAGTTTAAGTAATCACATGACTAAAAACACAGAACACCAACACTAGATCAACTGACTTTAAGAAATGCCATCAGTACCTGCTTTCTAATCGAATCTGATAACCAACCGTCTGGCCAATCTTTTCTCTTCTTTCTGCTGCCACTCTTTCAGCCACAGCAAGTGCTGCCAAACGTCTTGGCTGAGTGCAAAATATACGGCAGGGAGTTCCATTTTTTTGACAGTCATCAAGAATAAACTGGGGGATCTGTAAAGAAGTGGTTTAAATTTACTTTTTAGTTTGATGGGCTCATAACTTTTTTATCACAATGAAACAAGTAACTACACCTCAGTATCACACATATTGCAAAATGATTCACAATATGATCATCATTGCCAATGTACCTGAAGTGGCAAAGAAAGGCCAAAAAATCAGTTTCAGCTATTAAGTTTAGTCTCTTTCTAACAAAATACAACAAAAACACCCAACCAACTAAACAGAAGTTGCAGCTTTTCTCTCCTGCTTCAGGAAAATTTCTGTAAAAAACCTTTAGATAATCTTTCATCGTAACACACTAATCCTCTAGTTACTAGGAACTAGCTTTAGAAGTAAAGGGGTATACAAAACCGTAGCTGCCTTCCCTTCAATATTCTATGATTTTAATGAAAAACTGATATCCATCATATAATTGTGCAGAATAATTTATTTTTCTAAATAGTAATAAATTTTAATATGTATCTGCTGGTTTATTATTGCAAAAGCAAAAGGTTAACTGGAACACTACACTTTGAACTACATAGGAAAACAAAAGCCTTAAAAATAGAAAAAAAAAAAACAACTTTCTTATCACAGATTTGGCATCATATATTGTTTGGTATAAATATTGTTATGTTTTTTATTTCATTTAAGAAACGTACTTGAGTAGTTTTTCCTGATCCAGTCTCTCCTACAATCAAAACAACTTTATGGTCCTTTATTATTTTAACAATTTCTTCCTGTTTTTCAAAAACTGGGAGTGACTGCCTGAAGGAATCAAACTCTGACTGCCCTCTTTTCACTGGAACTTGAGGGATACCATCACTAAGTCGTCCACTTGTCTTGTTCACTTCTTTGTTTTCTGTGGAAAGAAGCCAATAAATTATAAAGGAAGGTCACTAAAACACTGGTTAAAATTGTACTTAAAAATGAACACTCCTGATTTTATTAGCATGCCTGTTGATAAAGTGAGAAACCCATGACATATTTAAAAGTGATTTTCACAGTAACACATTCTGTTATGGTGCTTGAAATAAATATAGTTCAAAGGATTTTTTTACTTTCATAGAAATTTTGAGCAGAATTATCACAGCACAATGCTCGAGTTAAAAAAAGGTATGAAAAGCTTAAAGAGAAATATAAAATAAATCAGAGAAAAAAAGCTTTGGCCGTTGTATCTGTTTACACATTCTCATCTCAAGAGTTTGCCTAGAAAAATCCACCACAGAGTTAAACACTTAAGTCAGTCCAAACTGAAAAGTGTGTTCTCCAACAAAAAGACAATTTTACTGTGATTTATATGCCTTCTTCCACATCTTTATTGATCTTTTAAGACCTCCTTTCAGTCAGTCTTACACAACCTAGTAGCCTAGTCTGTGAGATTTGTCTTAACAAACTGAGAGCCCTGGAGCCACACAGCAGTGTGATGTATCAGAAAGCAATGTGTAAGTAGCTAAAACCCTGCAGTCTTCTGAGGATGCTACTTCAACATCAGCACATTAAATGCTATTCTGAAATTCATTAATAATTATTTTCATAAGAATCAGAAGGTCACTATAAATGCAATTTTAATGCAATTATATAGACATAATGCAATTATTTCATTCAATTAACAGATTCATATATTAAGTGACAAACATTGTTTTACCAAGACAGACACAAACAAATTAAAAGAGCTAAAGACCATTCTAAAGAAATAAAGATAAATTTTACACTATTCATTCATTTGTACCCTACATCCACAAGAAATTGCTTTTCTGTACTTTTATTATAGCTTCCCTCTGTCCACTAAACAATCCTATTAAACAAATGAAACAACTGAGAAAGAAAACTAGCAAAGCAAGCACTTAAAGCACAAACACAAAGAATCAGAAATATCCATTTAAACAAGGCACACTGCTATGCTCTCTGTTCACTACACCTAGAGTTATACAGAGAAACACAACAAAATTTTCACAAACATAACTGTTAAGGCAACAGTCATGTTGAAAGCATTGTTTTTTAAACATCTTGTATCAGAAGTTTGTCTTCCAGAGAACTTTATATACGTTAGAAATCAAGAAGTTTATATAATAGTCCGAGTTTACGTAATAGCTCTTAGACACCAAACCTATTTTAGATGACAAAACAAACTATGAACTCCTTATTTTATCAAGGACATGGATTCCTAAAGGCAAAACAGCCAGTCTCATTATCACTTAAGGGTTTTCTTACAGAGTGATGGTAACACTTGTCTCTTTAATCTTACTCCATGGAACTTGCAAGAGTCCATATTTCACAATTGTTATTTTAAAAAAAAAAATTAAAAAAAAAAATCTGGCTGAAATTGGCTCAAAGAATCAAAATTAACTTGATACAGGGAAAATGTGGGTGACATGTCCGCCTGAGCACCTTATGACACTGGTTTTAAAAGACCCTATATAAAGAATTAAAAGTCAGAAAACTTATTAGGTTTGTTTGGAAAGAAGAGTTTCAGTTGGGACAGAAGAAGAGACAGAAAATAAGAGGTGCTTCTCTGGGGTTGAATTGTGGTTTGTTTTTTCAAGTACTCTCGTTGATTGACAAGTCCATATCACAAGATACACTGAACATACCAGATTCAACAGCATAGGCATTTCCTCGTTCTGTCTTTGGCAGAAGTTCTGTTCTTTCTTTATTTGTGACAGGAAAATTCTGAATTAAAGTATGAACAGCACGTTTTGTACCAGGAGTTAAGGCACAAGTCATTACTGCACGTTTTAGTTCTGATCCATCCTTTTTTCTTACAGTTAGGTATCGATTTGCTCCTTTTCTGGGAGAAAGGAAAAAAAAGGCATTTCAGGAATAAACATACTAGCTACCTCTATGTAATGATCTTTGACAAGAACTCTTTTAAGATGACTTTCACCTTGTTTTCAAATACAATTACAAAATTAGAATCCTCCAAATAATGTCCTAAGTAGCATAATGCAACATTCACAACAGTCATCATCAAAAGCACCTTCTATTCATGCAAGGTAGTAAAGAACAGACACCGTGGACATCTGATAACCATGTCCCAGTTATCACTGCATTTGTCTCCCAAAATACAGCCTATCAATACTACCAATCATTTTATCAAACAATACTGAGAGTTACGACACCAAACTGACTTTCAGACTAACTAGAAAGATTTTTAAGTTCAAAAACCACAAATAGGCAGAATAGACAAAAAAACTCCCTGCTAGTGGCATTCCAAGCCTTAACACAATCCAGCAAAACCTATCAGGTATCAGCATGTTCATTATCAAGGATTTATTATGTAGAAATGGAGCCAAAACATTTACCATATCACTGATCTGCTTACGGGATCAATGGACCCCTTATCTTTCCCTGGCATCCCTTGAGCCTCAAGAGTTAGAACTCTTGGGTTGTGTGAAAATGGATCTTTGTGTAAGGTTCAATTATTCTAGGAAAAACTAGTCGAAAGCTTGGGCTGTTTCCCCTCATCACTCTGTGTATAAAAAAGTGACTCTTGACACCAAAATGGATAGAATTTTTGTAAATATATTTGAAACTGTGTCTGGGCTATAACCAACATTATTAATACTTTCAAAACAACTTCTCAGGGTAAGAACAGAAGGCCACACTAAGAGCCCAGTGGCCTGTCCTTGGCAGGAGTGTAAGACTGGTGCAGGTACACAGGTGCTGGCAAAGACAGCCTCTGTAAGGAGAGGCACAGCCACCTCCAGCAGCTCCTGGTAAAAAGGACTCTGTCCTCTAAACATCCTCATTTCAAGAACTGAAATACACTGCTGAGACCCTCTTGAGCCTTGTCTTCTCCAGGCTGAAAAGACCTAGTACTCTGTCCCTTTCTGCATACAGCAGATGCTCCATGCCACTCAGCAACTTGCTGGTCCTCCACTGAACTCTCTCCAGTCTAGACCTCTGTACTCCTGGTGATCCCAGCACTGGACAGCCACAACACTCCCCGTGTAGCCTAATCAGTGCTGAGTAGCAGTGAAGGATGATCTCCCTCTGCCAGCTAGTCATACTTGAACCCTCTTCTATGCTTCCCAACAGAAGCACTCTTTCCAACATGCTACTCTAAGTTACATTTCTGTCAATGAAGAAGACTCTACGTAAAACCTTTGAAAACATATTAGCACAGGGGAAAAAAAACAAACAAGGAAGGATCTTTGTGAGAAGTATTTTTTATGCACACGAAGTTTTCAAAACTGCATTGCAAACTAGCATGGCATGCACTTTTTAAACTCAGACATCAAGCAAAGCACAGAGACACTTATTTTTATATCTAAAGTTTCTCCTCTGGTACCATTCCCGAAAACACTGCAGGATAAGCTAAAAGTACAGACAGTTTTAACATCGATAACGAAATCCCATAATTTGCACCAAAAAGAGAAAATAATACATAAAAATAAAAGTCAAACTTACCCTTTACTTTTCGATATCAGCCCAAGAGAATGACAGAGCCGGTGAACAAACGCTCTTTCGGTTCTAGTGAAAGAAGATGGGAATTCCATCTCTGGAAAGATAATTTAGAAACTAAAAACCCAAACATAAAAACTCAACCGGCAGTATCCCTGACGTATGCCCTCGGTGCCGCGAGTTTATCGGTCCCCAAACCCAGCACTCTTCCCGTGCACAGCGGGACTGGTGGCAGCGCTGGCCCCTGGCACCCGTGCGGGACACGGCCGCTCCAGCCCGGGAGAGCCCGCGGGCCCGGCTCCCTGCCCGCCGCTCCCCACGCACCCGTGTCCTCGCCGTAGCGGAACCGCTCCAGAGCGAG